AACAATAATCGTTTGTACAAATTGTTAACACTTGTTTCATTGTAGTTTAAAAGAAAAAAGAATATAAAAAAAATATTTCAAAGGTCTTTAAACATGACAGACACGCAATTACAATGGCCAGGGTGCAGAGTGAAATATCAAAATAAAGATTGCACCCACAATAGCACACTTTAGTCATAATTAAATCAACATGATAACAACATGATAGCAACATGTATATGCAACACGGTCACAGAACTACAACACCGTGCGATAAATCGTACAGTAAAGACTATACTCTAGTTATCACAACAGGGTATATAAACAAACTGAACAGTATTTTGGTCGTGACAGTGGTACATTTGTAGTACACCGTATGCTAACTTTTAGATGAATATTTTAAACCTGTCTTTGTTAATACAAATAGTTGAAATAACACTGCTCCTAACACAGAGTAATAGTATTTTCATTTCAACAAATTTTATTGTTTAGAAAACAAATGGATTGGACAACAGGCAAGCCTCTATAAGTCCTCTCCAATAGGTACCACATATATACAAGTCAAAGTGAATAAAGTAAATAATAGATATCATAGATAGTAATGTATATATATATAAAGAGAAATATATTTTAACATCAAAGCATTGATGGTAGTATTACACAATATTCAGAGAGTAGGATGATTACTTCGGGTAATGTATAATAATTAAATATGTAAATATCTACTCAAGCTTATACATACTTGCATGCCCACATGCCTACATGTCACACACACCCTCACACACCCTCACACACTCTCACACACTCTCACACATACAACACATCTATATAAGATGTGTACTCAGCCTAAGTAATTAAGTAATCTACATTATTACAAAATTACTACATATATGTGTCATAGTGATAGATATAATATCAAGACTGTACAATAATAGAGGTCTTCAGTAAATTTCAATCATTCAATTATTATATATTATAATCTTTTAAATCGTTCAGTACCATTTACATAGTATTGGACATTAGTTAAAATAAATTCATTAATATCCTCCGACAGGGTATTATCACCTGAAGTTAACAGAGTTGAATTGGAATAACCAATACGGTCATGAATTTCATGAATTAAGAACCTAGAATTAGAGTAATTAGGACAGGTAAAAAAATAATGATCAGTATTTTCAGCAGGTGAACCACAGGCACAAACTGGATCTGGGATAAGATGATCTATAAATTTATGATGATTCAAGTCACTTGCATCATTTCTTAATTGGCACAAAATGATATATAATTGTCGTGGGCTACAATTTTTAAAAGTATCAGAAAAAGCTTCAATAGGATTAGCTATAATATTTTTAAGATTCCTTTTGAAGGAACTTAGGCTTACTGACCTGGTCAACGAAGGATCAAGACTATTCCATGTCTGCATGGTACTAGGAAAGAAGCTTGTCTTATACATATTAGTTCTTGACCTTGGGATATTAAAAAAAACTCTGGTGACGCAGGTAATGAATATTTTGCTGTTGATTAATGAATGGTTCAATGACATTAAACAAATATTCAGGGGTTCAATGATTTATAATTTTATACATTAACATTAGTTTGTGCTTGTGACGCCTAGATTCTAACTTTTCCATTCCAGTTTCTTGGCATAGTTTATAATGTGAAGTACCACTTCTTAAACCAGTTATAATCTTCGTTGCATCAATCTGTACATATTCTAATAAATTTGATTCACCAATAGTGCAATTGTCCCAAATGGAATCTGAAAACAGGGCTAACAAATGAATACAGTCATGATGTTCATAATGTATCAACAATTTGACTTAGACCTATGTCAAACAAGAAAAGTTATTGGTTGTATTGTATTTGATTAGGATAGGGAAATAGGAACATATATATATTTTATCCCTTGAACATTTAATCAAAAGTTGTATGTAACAAATTAACTTCAATATATAAAGATATGTATAGAGGTATTACATACTAACAATGAATAAATCTGTATAGAATATGAGCAATTTCACACAGAGCTATATATGTAACTAATTGATCATATGATAAACAGGTTAAAGTTAACAAGAGCATCAACAAATCAACCCAGAGCTACATTGTATGACAATACGTAAACGTTTTTGAACGGATGTTAAACACTGTATAGTCATGCCAGCATAGGGTAATAACAATTCAGAGTTGGACATCAAAATGGCCTAGTATCAACATTATGACCCAGAGCTACAGTAGGCCTATTTAGTGTGTGACGCAAGTAACATACTAATACTAGTTATTGATAACATTCAACACAGAAAATATATACTAATTTTGCAGTAGACTAATTTTTTGCATATTCTAGTGCATCATCTGATCAAAACGTGTTATATTAGAAGTTAGTCGATGAACACCCGAGTTTAGGTTTAAAGTCACTATAGTTGTTAAATCTTGAAACACGGTGGAATCTAGATTATCATTTAGGGACAGGGATAGGTCAAGCTTGTTGTTAAATAGATCCAGAATAATTTTATCCGTGTCTTCCCTATTACTATCAGGGGACTCAGGAATTCCTAAAATTTTCAAGCAGTTTAGCCTACTGTATTGTTCAGCATCTTCAATTATATGCCTTAAGTCGGATATTGTTTTCAGCAGTGGTTGTATAACACAGGTAACAAGCTTGGGAATATCCAGCGAGGCCTAAAGTGAACAAATAAATCATTCGATAATAGTTGGGTGACCAACTTAGACATAACTTCACCGCATGTATGCCTGCTACCGACTCGGAGATATCAGTCAAAAGTTCATCTTCAGAACGCTGACGTTTAGATTTAGGTGGTTTGTCACTCCACGAATCATTCCTGTTATTAGTGCGGTTCTTCTGCTGTCTTTTAGGTGGACCCATCGTAGGTGTAATAGTAAACACCGTTTCACGTGTATACAAAATAGAAAGTGTACGTGTACGAGCGCGTGCCTACGTGGAACGGTGAAAGGCAGGTGAAAATGTTGATATGGCTATAAACCGTTTTAAATGTTCCAAGTAGATGAAGAAAATGGCTCATACATAATATCTATTACACATATCAAACCTGTAGTCTCCCTCAGGACGAAAAGTTGATAATTAAATCACCATTTCACGTCGGAGCTGAATAATAAGAACTGGTACCTGGCGCATGCGCACCACTCATTTGATTTCAGCGGCAGTTATGTGAAGCGATTGCGCGAAATGATAGCATGCGTCTATAACTAAAGATTTTAAAAATCTAAGATGACATGGGTATGAATGGAAGAATATATTGATCATTTGTCACATTTGCCATCGCCTTCTCAAACTTAACTATTTCCATCATCGCAATTTCAAGGTTGAAATATTGAAAATAAATCATTATGATCGAATAAGTTCACATATACCGGCGAAAGGAAAGAATCTCCAACATATGATATAGATTCTTGATTTTGACTTTATATTACATAATTTATCCCGTTTTATATTCTAAGCACGTAGAGTAATTTGCTAGTGCCTGAGAGGCTATTTGTATGCGACATCGGTCGTGACGTCAATTGCCAAAAAATGAAGACTCGCAGTTTACCTACTGTCAGTGCCATACACACCCAACGGACGGCGTGTTTTGACCAGTGAGTATTGATCACACAGCTTTTGTAACCAGTCCTGACGAGCTTATCAACAAATTAAGATCCATATCAAAACAAAAACAAGTCGGCCAGTAGAGGGGCACTATGTGTTCCCGTAGGAACGCCTACAGTATACTTGATTTGTTTGCCACCAAACTCAGCAAAGATATTATCAACCAGGCACTCAATTATTGCATGTCTAGAACTGCTGCAGATGTCAAAATGATTGATTAAGAATGCTACAAATAATACCTGGTTTAGATTAAGTCTGTTTTTGTCTAACTTCCTAAATCACATCCTTAATCATTTTAAAAGGTTATTGATGAACAGGTTGAGTTGGTGATAATATGACGTAAGAATGCTTTCGATATCATTATTAAAGACATAGCATTAATACATAATGTCCTATAATGATAACGCCGCCTTATTACAATCTTCGTGTGCTGCAGATTTTCGTCCTAAGGCGAAGATTTTAATTAAACGAACTGTTCAGACAATCCGATAATATTTTTGATATCAAGAAGTAAACGGGGAGAATATATTTCACATATTGATAAAAAATATAGCATCTTTGGCAATGTGTCTCAACTAGGAATCGAATCTGGGACTTCATATTACTATTCCATTGCTGTACCGATTAAGCTAAATAATAAATCACTCTAAATAAACCGGTAGCAAGACACTAGATGGTTTACATCTGTAAAAAATTGGAATATGCACATGCCGCTATATAACGTGCATGTAACCAGGTCATGTTCATATCGGTTGCAAACGGACAGACGATAGTTAGGGTCCACATGCTGCTCAAACCAGATGACATAAAATAACAAAGGCGACATTGCAAGTGAAGAATGCGGTGTTATTTAGCTTTATCACTGTACTCATACTCGGTTCGTGTCTTTATATAATAAAACAGTAGATAATATATAAAGCCATTTTGACAGGTTTTGCACAAACTTTAAATACAATGTATTATTAACATAGAAAAGGTTAAGGGTTATATCGAAGATGTACCGTGCATATTATTAAACAACAGTTGATTGCAACCCGTGATATCGAGGTGAAATATGCCAGCATATTTACATGAAATATCCTTAGACCGTAGGAAATTGTTTATCTTCTGATTAAATTTTATTGATAATGTGCGTTTGCTTTATGAATATTGTTATGTTCATATTATCCTTCCTTATTAAATTTACTTTAGCATTCACGATTCATGATTTGTTGTGTATTATTAAACCTACCGACTTTTATTAGAGAGACGGACAATCGTTGAAACTTGTACCTTGAACAACGCATGACGTAGACAAGACCTTAGATAATGTTATCAATATGACCGGTGTTTAAATTTATCACATCACTTGACGAAAGAGACAGACATACAAGGACGTTCAGTATCATTTAAATTGAAATTCATATTATTTGCTTATAGCTGTGTAACATCATAAAGGGATGGCAAGTACATTTTTAATCCGCCGTGCCCAGGTACAGGTTCCCGACACATGCGCGTGGTGTGAAACCATACAGGACGTTAACTGGTACTGTAATGACTGTCTGGAGGTTCTGTGTGACCGTTGTAAGGAGATCCATAAACGTGCGAACAGGACAAAAAACGACGATGTCGTACCAATAAAAGAGGCGAACAAGCAGGACGAGGCAGTACTCCTAGAGGTTTGTAAGACACATCGAGGTAAGACATGTGACCTATACTGTAGTGACTGTGACATCGCGATGTGTGCGATGTGTTTAACCGGGAAACATAAACAACATACTTTCAAAAACATTGAAGAGGAAATTGGAGCGCAAAAACAAAATATGCAAGATCAATTAAAAATACTCAAGTCCAAGTTAGACCATTTTGATGATAATTTATCGAAACGGCATGAAGTGAGCAAATCATTTAAAGAGAGCGTGGATGTCGTCCGACAAACTGTTCAAACCCAGAGACTGAAACTGAAAGCAGAGGTTGATTCCATAGCTGATTCCGTCTTGGTCGAATTATCGGCCTTGGTGGAAGAAGAAGAAAAAATCTATCAACATGATTGTAAATCTCACGAACAAACTATCAAAGAGATTAAGCAGCTGATTATGGATGTAGAGCAGAAAACTGAAAAGGTTTCATATACATCCTTGTTTGAGCTTACGGGGAGACTTGGGACCACCGTACCGCTTTATGATGTTACTACAAAGAACGTGTTGTCTCGCCTACCTCACTTCATGCCTGGAAAACTTAATCCGGATCAGATGAAGGCAATGATTGGATATATTCAGGTCGACGAATTGGAAAAGAAAGACATCGGGTATAAAAAGAAAGAAGTTGACAGAAAAGAGCTTAGTCACATTTCTACATTCCAAGTACTTAATAATGAAGAAATATACTCAATATGTCCTATTGGCGACACTCACGTATGGATGTCAGTATCTTCATCGAATGAATTGCTTAACGTAAACAAGAACGGCAAGGTCGCAGAGTCTGTCAAGCTTGAATTTTACCCGTTTTGTCTGACAATGACCAACACAGAAGAACTACTGATCACGGTTGATTATTGTTCACCGCTGATATACAAACTAACCAAGGACAGACGAGTGACCAGATTTGCTGACATCAGTCCGTTAGAAGCCTGGGGTATCAGTGTCAGTGACAGTGACGAGGTGTTCGTTACTACTAAAACTACAACAATACTGGTACTGAACATGTCCGGGGAGAGGATCAGACAAATCTCGTGTGGAGGTAATGGGCTGAGTGTCGTATGTTTGACAAAGGGAGATATAGCCGTCACCACTGGCGCGGATATTTTTGAGTGTAAGGAAATAATTGTCATCAACAAATCTGATCAGATCATACACAAGTGGAGTGGGGAGCTAGACAATGGTCAGACGTTAAAGAAAACTCATCAATGGGATATAGCACGATATAGATATGACAGAGTGTTTGTACCAGACAGCAACACTGACCAGGTATACGTCCTCTCGGTAAATGAGGGAAAGGCCAAGTGTCTCCTAGACAAGAGACATGGAGTAACATACCCAGCGGTTGTGTGTGTAGACAGGTGGGGGCATGTTTGGATCGGCTGTGTTGATGGTACAGTGCATGTGATGCAACTATGAACAGGAAAGAAAAGTTAATGAATAAAAACTGATAACATAACATTATAGTGACAATATAAATGTCTCCATGAATAAAACAGATGACATTACATTACATTGGCAATTCAAATGTCACTAATTACGCCACAATTAAATTAACGTTTGTATACAACTACAGTGTCAACGTGTTAACTAGACAGACTGTGTTCGGTTCACTGAGATGATCACAAGTTTCTGTTCTTACCTTTCATAAATCATCAATAGGAAATCGTTATAGAGTCCTATACTAAAGTTGATCCGGCCTGGATGTATGTTACATCATAATGTAATGCAAAATGTTTATTAAATACAGATCACAGTACACTTACAATTTAGAAACGCTGTATTCATAAGTCTGATTCAATGATACTAAAGGATGGATACTTATTTCTCATGTTTCAGCAAAAAATCATAATCAGAAAAAGTCTTTTATTATTTATATATATTATCACTGTTTACGATATGTTGATTTCTTCATATTCAAATGATCTTAAGGGGTATAACTGGAAAAGCTATAACCGTTCGATTTATCGAAAGTGATGTCAATACAATACTACGTAGATGTAGTTATTTCCCGCATGATTTAAGATTGTATTATTTTCAGTCAACATGTATGACCGACTGATGAAGTTAAATTTTCTATATTATTGTCCATAATATGAAAAGTTTTTCACGCCGTATGTAGAATAACAAAAAAAATATTAAAAACAGCAAAAATATATATAGTTTATATCTATATGAAATGTAATTGTCAAAAATAAATCATTGATCTGGAACATGAGTGTTGTATCTTGCGAGAAAGCATTTGCTCCAGTGATATAAACAACAACCCCGTGTCTATTACCATTAACTCATGAGAATTAAACATATGATAAATATTGCAAAACAGGGAACATGGCTTTTTTATATTACAGTATTTTGTATAATCAATATTTAATCATTTTGAATTGAATGTTCAGATGAAAGTTGAAGTGTTGTGACGTCGGGTGCTTGCTTTAAAACGTTAAGAAACAAGACACATTACATCAGGCTGTGAGTATTACGTGTTACAGTGTGTAGGTGAGAAAGTCTGTGTCGTACCAGTATCTATGGGAGATAGCGTCTTATATCTTAATGTTGTTGGTTATTTTATATTATAAAAACTATTCATCAACTACACATTTGATCAGTATGCACTTTAGTGTTTTAATTTTTAAGTATTAATGTTTGTTTTATGAGAGTCCGGTGGTTGGGAATGTTGCCGTACCGTTAAACATATGTTTTACTTACATGTATGCACTGTAAATAAAAAAACTCAAATCCTTCGATAAATCTTGTCTTTCGTATTATATAAAATTGAAAGCCCCAATCGGGACCAGGACCAATAAAGATATCAACGGATGAATGACTGACATCCAGCTTCAGTTCAATTCAAGATATCTTACTGTTGACCAATCCTGTTGGAAAACGATAAAATCATCCGCGGCCTCTCATCAACACTGGGATAATTAAGTTCCATGTATACCTTTCTATGAGGGCAAGTTATATTGATATGGCTTTATTTTTTATTTATTTTTATGAGAATATAATGGTTGAAATTGATGCTGTACCGCAACACAGTTTTCTCTTATTAAATAAAAAGGATTTATCTATTATCCAAGACCGATTATCACTCCTATTAAAGCCACCCACAAGTCTCCATCTGTTGTTACAATAGTTAATACGTCTATAAACGGTTTATAAAATCAACAACATTGTTTAAGTTAATCGTTTAACAGGTATTTTTACTTTGATCTGAATGGCATTGTTCTTCTCGTCTCTTATCTCAAATTGTGGTTTGTTGCGGATGCACGGTAGTCTAGTGGTAGGACGCTGGACTCGTGACCGAAGGGTTGCGGGTTCGAGGCACGGCAAGGCACGGCACTGTGTTGTATCTTTAAGCAAGATCCTTATTCCGCTTGTTCCAGTCTACTCAGCTATGAATGAGTACAAGTATTGTTGAATGCTAGCGTTTAGCGCCGAAATTGAAGCTCCGTCTGTATGCTCCCCAGGGAGTTGAGTAGGATATTGGCTGGTTTCAAATGCCCTATAACTACGGATAATAATGTGTGAACCGCTTTGAGACGACCTACAAACTAGGTTGTGATAAAGCGGTATATAAGAACCACGAATTATTTTTATTATTTGGTATTGAAGAGCCTCGGTTCAGCAAATGGCCAAATACAGTTGATCTTATCTGACATGTTGTATCTTCTATTATCAAGTCTCTTTGGTCTGGTCTAGTATGGTCTGGTTTGATCTGACACTTTTGCCTCGTTCGTTTGGCCTCGTTTGATCTGTTCATCTTATCCACTGTTTTTTTATAATTATTAAATCAATAAAAGTGGGGTTTTTTTAGTTTTCTTTTTTTTGTCTTGTTTATTTGATTAGATCCAACTGGTTTGTTCCATTGGTCTCGTCACTAATCTCTTATTGTGCTATTTACTTAGATTTTACCTTTTTGATAACCTCCTCACATCAACAAGTTGCATATGTTTTGTAGACGCATTTTCTTTAACCTCACATCTATGAATCAATTCATTCCATCTCTTTGCTTGCCTTGTACACAGATCAAATTAAAGTGAAAAAGACAATGGATATCAAAACAGAGAAGTCAACAACCACGAGTCCTGAACAATGGGGCCAGATCACAATGACCAGGCAATGTTTTAGTGAATGCCTGAAATATATCTGGTATCAATAACATACCAAACATATTCTCTGTGCAAACATTTAAATGAATATGACATTAACAATGCTAATCTCAGCTCACCAGTGCACACTTGTGTTGTGTATACGATCTATGTTTAAGCATCAAATAAGTTGTTCCCCTGCTATGTTATGCATGCCGTTTGCCAAGACAGGCACGGATGACATTAGACATTTCTTGTTTTGTTTTGACAATAATGTATAAATAATATTTTCTTAACAATACTGAGCAACTCACAAGTATGCATTAGTAATGTGTATCAATTAATACAAACTTGAATAAGGGTACTAAAAATGGTAATATTTGTTTTCATTGAAAGAAAATGATAAGAGCTTCTCGGTACCTAGCTAGTGCTATCATCTCTTTATTGGTACATCAGGGGAAATGTTTATTTATGTTGGCAGAAAAACAAAATATTATATTTATAGATTTACTTTCAGTTTACAGTAAGTTTAAAGAAAGAAGATGAAAAAAACACAAAACATATAAATATATATAAAAAATGGAAAAAAAGGTCACAAGATTTGCATGCACATTTTGATATTGGTCTGCACAATTTGCAAGTGAGAGAAGAATAGGTTCCAATTGATTTTATGAATATAAGGTTGAAACATGGAAACTGAGTGTCCACCAATATTCTTTCTTTTGCAAGGATTGGAATATGATTTAGTACAGCATATTAGCATCTCTAAAAGAAACATAAGATCGTGTGGAATAAAATAACAAAAGCAATGTTAAATATGATTGACATTCCAGAACAAACGATCAGAGTAACTGAATATATCAAAGAACCATATGTTTTTTATCCCATATACAGGAACAAATGGGTCCAACCCTTACGAATATATTACAGATATCAGACTAAACTATTGGAACAGACCATTGAAAAAGATAAAAACAATAGACGACCATTGTTCGGTCTCTTCCCGATATACAAAGTGAACGGCATATATTCAAATTGATGCTGGTATGAACGTAAATCGTAAAAGAAAAGACTGTTATCATGTTTTGTTTAGTGATGATGAATTCCTTCTGTCATTCCTATCAGCATGATGACTGACCTATTTAGTTTTAATTCAGTCGCGTGGCTTACACATATGTTGACAGTCATTATAAATCGGTTATAAATCATGTGATGATCAGTTGATGATCAAATTGAGATGTGCATAGCAGGTTAAATACCTGTCTGTGACAGACATTGTCGGCTACCTTTTTGTGCATCGTGTCAATCGTATCAGTCTATATTTATAACATGACTATCACTCAAGATAAACCTTTCTCGTTACTGTAAATATAACCCGGGATGAGCCACGATTTAAAACCCAGTCATTAGCTAAAGGTACATGCGTTCTCCAAAAATGAGGTTAGTGATTTCGTTTAAGTAAACTGTGTTTTTACCTTCTGAGGAAGACATATCTGTGTGATGATCCTAATGTTATGTCTGATGTTATTCCTAAGTGTATATAATTTCGGTGTAGAATCGGTAAAGATAGTTTAATTAACAAATCGCGTTATTTTAATGCCTCAAACACGCTTCATTGCAGAGCTTCAGAAACAGGGATAAGAGGATCAGGAGTTTTTCAAATATAAATCTTTTTCGAAAATGATGCAAGTTATTTCTTTTACATGAACTGTGTATTTAACTTTCTAATCCAGACAGTATGTTGATATTTACTACATATACTACATGTATTTCAAAATCTTCTGGCTTAATTGCCTCATTTTTTTTACATCTATTTGATATATCATTGGGGCATTGATTGTCTTTTAATTTAACTAATACTATGTCTGCATTGTTATTATTAAGTTTTGAAACAATAGCCGGCTAAGTGTTTTTTATGCTGTAATTGTATATAATGATATAACTTCTTTGCTTATATATGTATATAGTGTTATTTAATCTATAGATATTCAGGAAAATCGCTAGTTCTGAGTTCATGAATAGCACATAACTATATAGCAGAACCTGACTTTCTCAGGTAGATATCAAAATATGTGTCAACAGGTGGTCACATTTGCGCTGAGGTAAATTTGTAACTGTTTGATTAAAACTTTAGCTTCCCTGTGCAACTTAATTGATTTGATTATTTATAATCAATCGATCAACTTATTTCATTGATGTACATGTATATAACTTAACCTACATGTGTTTGCACACTGCAATAAATAATGATGTCATCATTTAAGTAAGTGGTAATTTATAACTGTGCATGTACCACCAGGCCAGCTGTATACCAGCTAACTTGGTGTGGGAAACACAGTAGACCCAGGGGAGGGGGCGGTGGTTGAGGGATGTATTTACTAATTCAACCATCAGCAATGTACATTTACCTGACGTGTATACATATCTAACAAAGATATCAAAATCAGACGAATTCATAGGTTTTTTTCTAATTTTTTTACCTTAAGAAGGCAGCTTCGGATGAACGAACTTAAATATTTACACATTTTTAGCTTGAGTTTTCCCTTTTATCTATATAGTCCTAAGCCATGATATAAGTGGGGTTTTTTCTGGAATGTTCTCTGTTCTTGATTTGTTTTTATAAAGTTTGCCACAGGAAAGCATATGTTTTAGTACTGTACTTA